TAATTTGTACAGGATCTCTCCGGAGGAGACGAGAGAAGTTCGCAGTCAAGGCTCCCACCTCGAAGTCATTGACATTGGCGGTCGCGGCATGTAGAGAGACCGATGCTGCCCATTACATCGGATGGTAAATAAAACACACGTGCTGATTCGATCATCGTTAGCAAGTATGCGGATTCACCGTTACCTTCTTACCTCACCACCTCGAATTTCGTCGATTTCAAGACGAACTTCGAAGCTTGCCGATATGTACTTTCGAATTCAAGCGGAATCTCTGTAGGAAATCTCGTCTTTCCACTTTAACTTCGCTTCATATTTTTTGGAACAGCGCATAACCTGTCAGCCTGTCAGCCACTTTGGATTACCGTATAACTCTGTCAAATCAATAAATTTTTGGGCATACCTTTTTATTCAGAGATATAGAAGAGCCTCAGGTACAAGAAAGTAATAAAATCAAAATCTGCAAACAGATGTGTACTATTTCGAAAGTTTCTGCAAAGTCAGTAAACCATTGAATATTTGTTCAGGTTCCATAGACTTGAACAACATTGTACGCGTCAAAGGTTACAAATAATTATGTTAAGTGTTAAATGGACATTGATCTCCCTAGAAATTAATCTTTTTGCAAGATGACATTTCATGAAAGAGAGAAAGAAGGAAATCGGTCGAACTTGCTGAATTCCTGAGTCGAAATTTTAGCCTTGCTTTGGATCTCTATCTGAACTTTCCAACATCTGTATATTCTGAAGAATCAGTGTGTGTGTGTGTGTGTGTGTGTGTGTGTAATATATATGGAAAGTAAGATCCTACTTAGCGCCTTTAATTGACAGAAACACACAAAATTCCACTTGTAGATCTTAAAGAGGACTTGTCGGCAAAGCTGGTAGGTTAGATGGAATTAAAAGAGGCTATAAAGTGTCAAAATACGCGTTAAATGGAACATTAAGGTCGAAGGTAGAATCAAAATTTCGACTCGAGTCGAAAGCCTGCACGCAAAAAAAATTTCAGTATTTAGTACAACCAAATAGAAACCAACTGAAAATTAGGTGATCAGAAACGATATCTGTTATGAAAAGTAATATTTCTGTTGTCGCAACAGAACCGTAAATATTCGTCTAAAGATTCAACGATATTAGAACTCGGTTGAGGCAACTGAGAACAATTGACTATACAGAAGTCTCATAAAAGAATTTTTCTGTTCCTACAGCCGAGTTTTCGTCTGAGCAACCGAAAATTCGGCTGCACCAACAGAATTGTTTGGAAAAGGGCTCCGCCGTGTCCTCAAGTTTCACAGAGGGCCCTCGAATTTTGCAAGATTTCGGATAATGCTCGCCGTCAGATGTTGAATGTTCTCAACAGCATCAACGGCCGAGAGACACGATGCGTCTCGCGCTTCTCCTCGCGATTTCGTTTCGGTGCGCGTCCCGAGACGCGGCCGCTTTTTCAGCATCGTTGCACGATGCGCGCTTGATGAGATCTATTATCCCGGATGACTGTCCTCTTTCGCCGGCTTCCACGAACACGGCGCGCCGGTGAACGTCCTCTCTATCGGCGAGACATTCGTACGCATCATCAGGTGTAAACGCGTCAGCGTCAGCGCACGGCAGCGGCAGTTGTCACTCTCTCTTCGCCGTGCGCCTTCACCGTCGATCGTTATGCGAACGTCGACATTGTCCCTTGGTTTTCTCGTCTGAAAATCGCGTTAGACACAAATCAATACATCATCACCATCAATCCACTCCCGCGAAGTCTGAGAACGCTATTCATCGTCCGATCTTGTACTCAAGATCGTCTTAGGCTCACCTTAAGACTCTCCAAGGGCCATTTCAATAGTCACTTAACACCCTAAGACGAACTTAAGACGATCTTAAATATGAGGTCCGCATGTGAATGCCGCCTCGCGATATATCGCGACGTAAACGTAAATTTCGGATATATTCGTTTGGTGTTTGGGCCTTTTCGAGATTGCGGTCAAGAAGAGAGAGAATCTAACTCAACAACAGTCGAGTGTTTTCAACTGTTGTGACTCCAAATCTCGATATTTCACTACACGCAGAAAAAATTTTAGTTGGTGTAATCAAATAGGAACCAACTGAAAATTAGGTGATCAGAAGCGATATTTCTGTTATGAAAACTAATATTTCTGTTGTCGCAACCGAAAATATTCGTCTGAACATTCAGCGATATCAGAACTCAGTTGAGGCAACTGAGAACAATTGACTATACAGAAGCCTCATAAAGGAATTGTTCTGTTCCTACAACCGAATTTTCATCTGGTCCCTGAGCAACCGAAAATTTGGTTGCGCCAACAGAATTGTTTTTTCCATGTAGAAGCAAAGCATTTCACTAGAAAACCAGAAATTATAGAAAGCTCTTTTTTAGAATAACTAACAGTAAAAATTGAAGAAGCAAATAAGGAGTACAGCACGGATGCTTAGTGCTATTAAATACTAATATTACTTTTATATAATATTAATATGATAGTGGGAGGATAATTATGTCCAGCATATCAAACGCACGTATCGAAATTTTTTTTCGATTAACGTACGCGGCGAATCTATCTTTCATACTTAGACCGATCCTTGAGTTTCAATTTTATATATATATATATATATATATTTAAAATTCCCAAAAC